TTCTGATGGCATTTTAGCAAAAGGACTTTTATCAAAAACATAATGAATGTGAAAAAGTAAGGAATAGTTGTATTAAGTTTTATGGGGCCCCAGGGAACTTGGGGCAAATCCCCCCCCAGGAAAACACAGGATGCTGTAATTTGTTGAAGCTGTATTTTTTAATACAGAAGAGGTCATATTTAGAACATTATTTGTTATTGTTTATGTATTTTAAAAGATACATTTTGTTATCAGAGGTGTCAAGTAACAAAGTAGAAATACTTTGTTACCTTACCTAAGTAGAACTTTCTCTAATCTCTACTTTACTGGTGTGATTATTTTTATATCACTTTTAACATCTACTCCTTAAATGTTTTTGCAATTATCTCTACTTTCTACTCCCTACATTTTAAAAATAGACGCGTTAGTTTGTTTGATGTTAGCTCATTTTCGTTATGGCCTATTTAAAAAAGTAAAAAACATCTAAATAACTTGTTTTATTCATTTCTTTCTGGTTGGACTCTTGCACCAACTTGTTTTTTTACCACATACCAAAATAAACAGTTTTTATAAGATGATGCAAACTTAAATTTGACACTTTACCATTAGTTACAGAACTAAGAAAATTAAGCATAAGAAAGTTATCCAGAAGTGTAGAAAAATATTAATTTAATAGGGTTTAATAGGGTTATTTAAGCTAATTTGATTTAACTTTTACACTTTTACTTGCGTAAAAAGCTTAAGTTTATACTCTAACTTCTACAAAAGTGTTTTTTTAACAGCAGGATTTATACTTCAACTGGAATAATAAACATCTCTTATTTGTTACAGATTTTGTTTCACTACAGAAGTTATTTATGTACAATTTAGGTATTATAAAGCATGTTTATTAACCTCTGAGACACCTGTCTGAAGGCCTGTCTTGAGGCTGGGCAAAGTGTCCTCTTTTTGGACATGGTGACCCCTAGCTTCACTGCAAAAATTATCTAGAAATAAGCTAAGACTTCTTAAAATAACCTTTTACCCTTAATTTGAGTAAGTAAATGAGATGATTTGCCAATGGAATGAGTATTTTTATGCCTACAATAAGATAATTATATAACAGGCACTTGAAATAAGAGGCTGCAATTGTTTTTTCTTATTTCAAATATAAATTATTTTGTTTCATTGGCAAAGTGTCTCACTTACCTGCTCAATTCAAGAAAAAATCACTTAATTGAAGAAAAATTGACTTACATAGAAAGTGTTTGTAGTGTTAAAGTCTCGGTGGTATTTCACTTTCGGGTTTTTAAGTGTTAACTCTGAGACTTCAGCCAAATTTCTTTGCAAAATAACTAAATTTCAGTCATTTTTTATGTAACACGTTTATGAGGAGTAATTTCAACGTTCGGTCACATATTACAGTAGGAAGTGAGTCTTGGTTTGAATTGTGTCTGAGCTATTCTACTACATGGATATACTTAGAGAGCATCCAGGTGCAGCTCTTACTGTCAAAATGGATATTAAAGTTCTGGAAGGTAAACGTTGAACCGTATCTGAAGCCTATTTCAACCAGAAATAACCTGTTTGTTTCAGAATTGCCTTGTGTTTAGCTTCATCCATATTCCCATACATTTTGAACAGCCTCCATCTCATCAAGAAAAGCATTCGGACAGGTTAATATTACACCCACCGTGTTTAAATGTCAGAATGTTGATGTGCATTTTTTCCACCACAGTATCTATATGCAAAACTAAAACTTGAATTTCTTCTTCTTTCTTCCATCACATGCATATTTGTGAAGTCCTCAACTAATAGTTGTGTTTTCAGATTCCCTACTTCAGCTTTAGCTAATGGTAGCTCTTCCAACGTAACTCTGAATAAAGCTGCCTTTGACCTGTCAGTGGTGGCGGTTTCATTTTCATACAATTACTATAATTTCCTAAATGAGAGGGTACCAAATATTGTTTTATAACCTAACCCTGATTTATTCTCCCACAAAAGTATACAACTTTTATAATGCATTTTATATACAGGTATATATACAGGTTGAGCCCTATTTACTAATGATTTTAGATTATTTCAAAAGACAATTAACTGATCTGAATTTAGGGATGTTGGACTGAAGTGGACTGGAAACATATGCTGGCATAATTTTATATGTGTATTTAAGTAAAACTCTTTGAAATTTGTAACTGTAAAATGTAATGTCTAAGAGGTTCATAGTTGTGAATAACTTGGCAAGGAATCCTAGAGGGGACACGTTAATTACACTGCAAAAATGGAAATTTAAATAAGTATTTTTTTCTTAAACTGAGGAGGTAAATGAGACACTTTGCCAATGGAACAAGACAATTAACATTTAAAATAAGAAAAAACAAGATGCAGAACATAGAAGGTTAATGACGTAGAACAATAACTTACTAAATTTGGGTTTAGTAAGTGGCTGTTTTCCTCCCCCAGCTATCCTACTGCTAATTCCTTTAGCCTGTCATTCACATTTAAGCATTGACTATCCTATTTCTTACCACCACATGTTGCCAATGCAGCCAGTTGGGGTATAACGTTGTTACACATGTACAACTGCAGCACCTCACAGCCACTTCTCTCTGGCTGCCCTCACATTCAACCTCACCTTAAGGTGCTTTAAATGAGCGTCTCTCCTGTCAAAGCCTCATCCCCTAAGGTATTTCTGCTCCTGCCACACTGCTAAGATGGTTGGTGGAGTGGAAAAGGCTTCATGCATCTGTGGTAATTTTAGTAGACTATATAGGGCATTTTGCAAGGTGCTTTTGTGCTTTTTTTCCCCCACAAAGGTATACACATTTTTTAGTTCCTTTTTGCCTTCAAGAGGCAAACCTAACATTGAGATGTTTTTACAGAGAACAACACAGTCTGAACAGTATCATTTCCAGTAAAGGTATTACTTTTAACATTGCGAGGTAAAAGCCTTTGACTGAACACACAATATATATATATATATATATATATATATAGTGTTTAAATATTGAAATGCACAAATTTGTGCTGCTGATTTTATAACAAAATTCCTTTTATTAATTTCCCAAGAGGAACATGAGTCGGAGTATGAATGCAATAAAATGGGGTAATGTAAAACACACAATTATAGTTACCCTGGCATTTAGTTCTTGTCAATCAAGTTATGTTTATTCTAAAGCTACAGAAAATTCAGATCCATGTCTTGGATACATGTGAGCCATTTTTAGCCCATATTCACATGCATGTCCTTTGACAGCCATCACTACTGGGTTACCCCCTCCGTGCTGTGTTGACAGTGGGTTTTTTGAAAGCCAGCAGCGAAAGTCTAATGTGATTAGAGTCTTTGTGAAAGTGCTGGATAGGAGGTTAAAGGGTGGATGTGACTCAGTGTGTGTGTGTGTGTCGGACATGATGTGTGTGTGGCTGTGTTTGAGGTGATTGGGAAGCGTTGTGTGGAGCATCATCCTCATATAGCTCTTTCATCACAGCTTGTCCTTCGAGCTGTGAAGGATCCACTCGCCGTTGACTTGCAATGAAGTGACGACATTGTGTGCCTGCCTTGGTGCTGTGGCTCCTGCTGATAATAGAACCTCTGTCTTCCCACAGCTGAAGAGGCCAAGGAGCTGGAAGAAGAGGAATCAAAGACAGGTCAGTGACATCCTACGTAGTCAAGTCTTATTTTCTCATGTGAGCTGCAGCTGGAAGGACACCTGCTGAATTTCGACAACTTTAATCCTATTTTCCTGTAGCTGTTGTTTGGCAATCCAAACTCTGAATGGTGGTCTACGAAACAAACATAGAAAAAAACAAAACAAAAAAAAATGCAAAAACAACCTGTAGGAGTCAGTGATAATTGTTGCAAGCCACATCATTTCACCTCTTTTCACCATGGGACACAACGAAAACACTAAGTTATTTAATAATTTATATATAAAAATGACAAAATAAAATGCATTCAGAAAATATGAATACTACAGTGAGTGTTTTGATCGACTGGTGCCAGCCCTGTGGTTTGGAAAAGATGAGCTGCAGTCCCAGAAGACCCAGAATGAGTTCTGCAAGGCCATATGTCAGATATTGTCAAATCAGGCAAGAGCAGGAGAATAAAAGATGCTTTTATCACCTTAAATGTGCTTGTGAGAATTCTACCGTACTTAATATTTCCAGAAACTAGTGCAATACATAAAGGCTTGTTTCTTGCACAAGTTCTAATCACTGCCTTTAAAAAGAAGCTGGAAAAATGTATTTTTTTGGATTTTAACACCACTTTATTCAACAATTCAAACAATAGAATCAATTATTGATTAAGGTAAAAACAAGTGTCAGCTAAAAATCACTGAATAAGGAGCTTGTTAAATTGTTAAGCTGGAAAAATGTGGCTGTAAAGATTATATAAAGAGAAAGAAAAAAAAAACCAAATGTACTCACTGTTCAAGAATGTGCTATTTAGTTTAACTAAGTTCATTAACAGCAAAAGGAAATTATTAGAAATGAAATATTACTTTGGCAAAGTTACCTAAATAGTGACAATAACACTTTATCGGGAGAAAGCTCATGTCAGGTTACAGCCTTCATAATAACAAACTAGTGATATACAGAGATCGCCTCTTGTTTGGTAGACAAAAACCCTTATAGAAACTAGTGGCAAACATTATCTTCCACAGTTGAACCTTAAAAAAATAAGCCATCTTTTTAAAATGATTGCTTGATATTAAAACTTAAACTTAGAGCAGAAAAGTGACTTCTGTTTACATAAAGTCCAGCCAAGGACTGGACTACCTGTTGACATCCATCCATCCATCCATCCATCCATCCATCCATCCATCCATCCATC